AGTGGTATTTTTGCAAATGAACAACTCATAGTGACATTTTTGCAAATATACACACCAAAAGTGATATTTTTGCAATTATCATTTTGTTATTTGAAATTTGTAACATGTATAAAGTACTGATTTAAATTTTGAGGACCAACTAATATAGTGTTTATATTAAAACTATATAATTAGATACTTTCAAAAGTAAAAAATAAGGAAATTTGAAGTTTTAGTAAAAATAGTTTTATTTTATGTCAAATAAAACTCAACAATTGTTTGATTTACATAATAATATGAGAAAAACAATTTGAATATTTGTCACCTCTAACGAACATATGATGATCATATGATTGGATACAAAAAGTTAGGTTAGTTTTCACAATTATATGTAAACCATTCCAATTTTTTTCATTTTATCTAACAATTTGAAATTTTGGGTTATGGACAGGTGAAAGATAAGAAAACTTTAAATTTTGGTAAAGAGTCTTTCATATTTTATTATGATCATAGTTTATTTGTTTTAGGTAATTAGAAACTTTCAAAAGTAAAAATAAGGAAATATGAAGTTTTAGTAAAAATAGTTTTATTTTATGTCAAATAAAACTCAGAAATGGTTTGATTTACATAATAATATGAGAAAAACAATTTGAACTTTTGTCACCTCTAACGAACATATGATGACATATGATTGGATGCAAAAAGTTAGGTTAATTTTCACAATTAATGTAAACCATTCCAATTTTTTCATTTTATCTAACAATTTAAAAAATTTGGGTTATGGACAAGTGAAAAGATAAGAAAACTTTAAATTTTGGTAAAGGTACTTTCATATTTTATTATGATCATAGTTTATTTTGTATAAGGCTCTGTTCGAAAATGCTGCGAAAAGGGCCGATTCCACGGCGAAAAGGCGATCGGCGGCAAGAGCCCGAGAGGATTTTGTGTTGTTCGGTTAATAAATCAGATTTTTTGAAAAAAACTCGATTTTTCACCATTTTAAGTCCTTAATCGATAGTAACTTGATGGATCTTTTATCTTTAGTTATT